ATTTAAGACTCCTAAGACCCTCAACGGAAAGTTCGGAAGCCTACTCTGGACACCCGTGGAGGACGGATCTGCGAGGGCGGACAAGGAGTCTACGGCCTCCCAAGAAGAGGCGCGCTGCGCACGCGTTCCGGTTTTAGGGTTCCTGCAAGGGCTTTTTGCAACGGTCGCTATGGAGAGCTACTGACAACTGTTGAACACCTTGCCGATGGTCAACGTAAGTCCGTAAACCCGTAATTCGGAATCCCCAAATCAGCCACACCCTGAACCGTGAAAGTTGCAGCGAGCCTTGAACATGCACCCCAGCCCCCGCACCTTCAACCGGAATTAAAGCCCCGCAAGCCAAGACTTTAGGACTTAGGCCCTGCCCCACAGAGGAGCCTTATCGAATTCAAAATCAGGCTTTCCCGTACTGTACTATACACGAAGTAAGGGACCCGAAGGAGGAATTAAAGCCTCGCAAGTCAAGGCTTTAGGACTCAGGCCCTAAGTGGCCCAACATAGGAGCCTTATCGATTTAAATATGAGGTTTTCCCATACTGTGCTATACACGAAGTCAGCGACCCGCAGGAATAGTACGACCCAGTTATTCAGTAGGGAGTAGCATGGATGAGGTTTTCGGCCCTGGGTTCGGGGTTTAGGGTTTAGGTCAAGTCTTGCTCCATGGTTGGGTTGTGGCTCCTGGTGAACCCTTATCCGAATTGTCTCATCTTAGAGGTCGGGGATGATATGGTGTTTGTATCAAGGTGTTGATGAGTGTATGTGTGTGGGTTTCCCTGTGTGGACGCTAGTATCATCAACCTTCAACGATCCCTATAAACCCCACTGACACTGAAACAAGAGGAAGCCCTTTTTAAAACACGCTAGAGCCCAACGCCACGTCCTCCCAAGCCCTAAGCACTGAACCCTCACCCCTAGTTTTCAATTTTCAAGCCGACAAGCATCAAGCTTCGAGCAGGTCGAAGACGACGGGGCGGATCTCCGACCCGCGTCTCCGGAGCCTCCTGCTGAGGCCTGCGAGGACTGCGAGGACGGTTTGGGGCCCTTTTCGGGAATCAACGGTTGCAAGGTTTAGGACTTCAGCGCCGTAGGGCGACGGGCTTGAGGAAGGACCTTCAGCTTCCATAGGCTTGAAACTATACTCGTAAGGGCCTAGGGCTTTAGGAGTTAAGGCTTAGAGGCCTAGAGGTGTGAAGCTACACACCATCCAGAAGTGGACCGAGCCTGAGTGGGACCCTCAACGAGAAGTGATCCCCGAAGCCAAACTATCCCCTAGCCCGACCCCAAAGACCCTCAGCCCTAAACCCTCGAAGGCTCGGACCCTCAAAACCCAAAATCCATGTAAGTTTAGGGTATTGGGGTTAGGACTTAAGGTTTAGGGTCATGGGTTGAGGGCTTTAGAATTTGGGGTTTAAGACTCGTAAGACCCTCAACGGAAAGTTCGGAAGCCACACCCGTGGAGACCCGTGGAGGACGGATCTGCAGGGGAGGAGCTGGAATCTACGGTCTCCCAAGAAGAGGCGCGCTGCAGGGGTCTTGGGGTTCCTGCCAAGCCTTTTGAAAAGGGTTCCTGTAGGGGGCAAAAACCCTACACCCTAAACCCTAAACCCCAAAAACCCTAAACCGCGCTAAAGCCTAAAGCCCTAAACCCTAAAAACCCTAAACCGCGCTAAAGCCTAAAGCCCTAAATCCCTAAACCCTGAACCCTAAACCGCCCTAAACCCTAAACCCACAGCAAGGAGATCTTTAGGGGCTTTGGGGTGGTGGCGTTTGGTTTCAGGAGCCCGGGTTTAGGACGTTTAGGACGAAGACCGAGTGTGTGTGGGACGGGGCGTATCTGTAGAGGCATCTAGCAGGGTTTAGGGATTACTTGGAGGTTCATGGGTAGATATAAGTAGGGTTATAAGTCCCCTAATATGGGTTATAACTATAGTTACCCTACTTACAACCCCACTTATAACTACCCCTGAACCTCCAAGTAGCAGGCTTTGGGTTTAGGGCAGCAAAGGGTGCTGACGATCCACCCGAGCCCGCTGTCGTGATCTACCTGTTAGTAGACTCCAGTGTCAGAGGCGTTTGGAAGTGGCAGGGCTTGGGGCTGAGGACCCGAAAAAGGGGCCAAAATGATTGCCAATACTAGTTTTTTCGGTGGGTTACTTATTATAGTTATAGTATAATAGACACAAGAACCCTATTCTGACTATTTCGGTGGGTTCCTCATGACAGTTATAGTAAAAAGACCCCAAAACCCAAGCGTTTTCGGCAGCCGGGCTCAGCCTTCCGGTGAGAAGTTCGTCTTAGGGTTTAGAGTTTAGGGTTCTGGGACATTTTCAGGTGGGTAGGTACCGTTATGGGAGCCTTATGGAAGGTCTATATACCTTATGGAAGCCTTATAGAAGCCCTATATACCCCAAGCTCCCCACCTGTAGTTGCCTTTAAGTTCAGGGTCTACCATTGCAGGCTGCGGGGCTTAAGCTTTGCGGTTTCCTGCTTAGGATTTAGTATTTAGGGTTTAGGGTTTGAGGTTTAGGGTTTAGGGTGATTGCAACCTATGAACCTGGGCCGTGGCAGCTTGAGTCTTCTCTGCTTGTCGCTGCAAAAGCCGACGTTCGCTAGCCAAGCTGTGAGGACGTTTTGCTCGAGCTGGTCGCATAAGTCGGCTCATTTTTGTGTCTTGTCCAGTGCACCGCTTGATTCGCAGAATAGCGATCACAGTGATCATGATGGTGCCCACTCGATCCTTCCTTTTGGTGCTCCTTGCGGAAGCACTTTGGCTTTGCCGCTCAGAGGACCCGGAGGCCTCTCTGTTGGCCGGGGACGATGCCTGCACTGACTCCGAAGAGGGTGAGTGCAGCGTCTCTTTGCGTCAGCTTCGTCTAGGCCGGCAACAGGCGGAGGCGGAGGAAGGGTACGACCAAGAAGAGGTCGAGCCTGTCTCCATCGTCCTGCCCTGCACAGAGCAGTCCGAGTTTGCCGCCGACTACGACTCCGGCAACTTGCAGAGTTCTTTGGCAGAGGTCAAGGAGCATGTCCAAGACATAGAAGCGGAGGGCGCAGACAGAGGTTGCTGGCAGGCGAATGTTTACTACAGGGAGGCCAACAATGCGATCACCATGCCTGGTACGCACCGGATGCGCCTACCTTCTCCAGAGATCTGCCAGGGGGCATGCGCGAAAACCCCTGGTTGCGGCCATTTCTCCTTCTGGAGGGATGGAGGTTGCCTTTTGACCAGTTCCGGTGCTCATGCCATCCCCCATGGCGGCGTGGTCTCTGGCCCAGGAAGTTGCACTGATGCAGCAGGTGCCGGCGCCAGTGCTGGTCCAACTTACACTTACACCGCCCCAAGTGTGATGACGGTGAAAGCACGTGGCGGCTTAGAGCCCCCTAAGGAGGTACAGCAGTACAACGGCGTCGCCTGGCCAACCATGAAGATCGCGGATCAGAAGAAAGAGTACCATATGTTTGCCATCGGCGACTGGGGAAGCTTGGTTGGAACTCACCCAGGTCAAATGGTCCAGTACAAGGGCGGTCAAACCAATGGTCCTCACACAATGGCTCGCTGGCGAGGAGGGTGCAACACTGACACGATGAGGTCTTGCTTTGCTGGCGAATCTTGCCCCAAATCCTGCAACTACGTGCCCGATGCGGACTATCGGGCGCAGGTAAATGTGGCAACCACCATGAAAAAGTTCGCCAAAGAACGTAAGCCAGACCTCTACATCAACGTAGGAGACAACTTCTACTGGGGAGGTGTGAACACAGCTTGCGGAACGCCGATGAACAAGATCCATCCGGTGACAGCACACCAGTTCACGGAGACTAGGTGCCCGGTAGTACCTGTGTACGCGTTTTGCATTGGGGTCTCCTCCTTAAGACCTTGATACTGATCGAGAGGGTATAAGCACCCTAAATAGTACCTGTATAAACATTCTAAACGAACCGTTGGAATTCTCATAAAACCCTAGCAAAACCCGACAAAACCTTATAAAACCCTATAAAACCCTACAAAACCCGATGAAAGCCTAGGAGATCTTCGAGAAAGTCTACACCGGCGATGGCGTGGATGGAAAGCCATGGCTCAGTGTACCTTAGATAGCCAATGGGAGAACTTTAAACTTTTGGCCTTTTGTATTACTGTTTGGGGTTTAGGGTTCAGGGTTTAGGGTTTAGGGTTTTGGTTGTTGAAGAAGAGAGGTACTCGGCAACCACGACTACGGCGGCTTCCAGTTTCTAGGCCACCCTTGATCCTGTCTCTACAGCTAGCACGTACATACATATGTGCATATATATATATATAGATAGATAGATATAGTACTATAGGCGTAAACAAAGAAATACTTAAACAAATAACTCTTGTGTAATACGTACATATTTTCCGTTTGCCTTCGGGAGAGTCTGTAACAGACGCGCGCCTAGGCAAAACAATGAATGCAGGTGAAACAGCGCAGCAGGCTACTTGGAGGTTCATGGGTAGTTATAAGTGGGGTTATAAGTAGGGTAATTGTAATTATATCCCATATTAGGGGACTTCTAACCCCACTTATAACCACCCATGAACATCCAAGTAGCCAGGTGAACGTAGACCAGATGCTTCACAGCAGAAGCCGAGTGTAACGAGCCACTCTCGCAGGATAGGGAAAGGGTCCCAAGCAATACTTACATACATACATACACACATACATATACATACATTCATGTATGTATGTATGTATGTATGTATGTATGTACGTATGTATGTGCATATGTATGTATGTATGTACGTACGTATGTATGTATGTTTCTGTAGCTTTTCAAGTAGAGCCCAGGTTCAACAAGGCGTGGGACCAGCAGATCGCCTATACCTGGGCCAGCGATCGATGGGTGATGCCAGGCCAGTTCGGGGTTTAGTGGTTTGGGGGTTTTGGGGTTATTTATGGGTTTAGGGGGTGTTGGGGGGTTTTTAGGATTAGTAAGCCGGAAAACACCCAGAGAACCCTGACAGTACCTTGTTCGCAGCCCCCTAGCCCCAAACCCGCCCATCGTAGGGATGTTACCTTGACAGCTTCTGTGTTGGTTGTTTTTTGGCTTCTCAGGCCAGTATTTCATGCAGCGGGTGGAGTATCCGGAGTTTTCCGTGGAGATCTTCATGCTGGACACCAATGCTATGGATTCCCATCCTAAGAATCTGGGCACAACCCTAAGCCATAAAACAGACCGACACCCTACACGTTGTTGGATGCAGGGTTTAGGGTTTAGGGATGTAGATCCAGAAAGCCCAAACTTGGCCCCTTTTGCAATACGGTTTCAAGGCAGCCACATGAACTGTAAAGCACAAAATGTACTAGCCCATTGCAGCTTAATGTGGACGTACTTGTGTAGATTGAGTGGCTTGGTGGGAAGTTTGTGCGCAAGTGGAGATCGCCCTCCTAGATGTAGAATACTCTAGCCTATACCCTAAAACCCGTAAGACCCATCTCTGTCTCCCTCTCTCCCTCTCACTCTCACGCTGTCTTTCTTGCCTAACCCCTAAACCCTGAACCCTAAACTAAACCCTAAACCGTTGCTCTAAGGAGCGCAGATCCAAATCACAACATTTGCGGAGCTGCCAAGAATCCGCCGGGTGCCAACTGCGCAGCAACGGGCGGGCCCAAGGACCTGGATGATTGCTTCCGGGCGCTTTTATTGCGGAGTTACGGAGGTCTACATGGTAGTTATAAATGGGGTTAAAGTTGGGTAACTATAGTAATAACCCATATGAGGAGACTTATATCCCTGCTTATAACTACCCACGAACCTCCAAGTAGGGTTTTGGGTTATGGGTGAGGGTTTAGGGTTAGGGTTTGGGGTTGAAGACGTCGGGCCAATATGAAGTACACCTGACAGGTCAACACGACTTGTTTAGTAAGGTGTGCAAGCAGACAGATAAGACCACCGAAATAGATACTATAGGGGCCTGAAGAATTACCTACATTTTGGGTGTTCTTTCTTATATTTATTGTATACGATACGCCTTAAAACCCTATTCTACGTCCTATACATGGAGGGTCGGGAGACTTAGTAAGTAGGTAATAAGTAGACTTGTAAGTACCCTAAAAGGGACCCTAAATGGGGTTATAGTACTTATAAGTCTATAAAATAACCAGCTACTGAGTCCCCCGACCCTCCAAGTATTGCATCACTGCCACCTTTTCGGCAGCGACTACTTGGAGGTTCATGGGTAGTTATAAGTAGGGTTATAAGTCCCCTAATATGGGTTATAACTATAGTTAGCCTACTTATAACCCCACTTATAACTACCCATGAACCTCCAAGCAAGGCTTCAAGTTCATGTGGGACACCTGGAGCCTGGGCATGGGCCTGAGAAAAGCTTTCGATTTTATATCATACGAGTTTTAGGGCTTAGAGTTTAGGGTTTAGGGCTTAGGGTTTAGGGTTTAGGGGTTTAGAGTTTAGGGTTTAGGGTTTAAAGCTCAGGGTTGGATCGTACAAATGGGCTTCTCATCACCATAACAAGCATGAACATACTAGTGTTCGAGCGTAGGGTTCAGGATGGATCGTACAAAAGTGATTCTCATCACCATATCATAACAAGTATGAACGGCGGCATTAACCCAAAATGCGAAGCTCTTTTTACTGTATACACTTGAGGAGAAGCCAGTCGAAGTGGACAGAGAAGAAGCTCAAAGAGTCTACAGCTGACTGGCAGATCATCGCTACACACTTCCAGTGTGGGCACCAGGCGCAGTGGCACCTTGAACATTATATGGGAGCTTCAGAGACCAAGGACCCTAATACAGACCCCACAAAGCTAGGATGCTTCAGCGGCTTGCTTGAGAAGATGCGCTTTGTGTAGAAGCCTTTTTCGGAATTGGGCTTCAGGTTAATGATCGTTTGCGGCTTCAGGACTTAATTACATTTCATGAGCATCACGCAGCACGGTGACCAGAAGAAGAGATCAGGCAAACTAACACAAATAGATAGAAGTAGAGAAGCTAGACTTATAACAACCACGCGAACCCCTAAACCCTCAACAGTCCGATGCGTGTAAATCTTGATCAGATACTTATGGACCCACACCCAGTACTTGGAGGTTCATGGGCAGTCATAAGTGGGGCTATAAGTAACTGTAATTATAACCCATATTCGAGGACTTATAACCCCATTTATAACTACCCATGAACCTCCAAGTAGCTACCATGAGTCTGCCAGTCGAAGCAGCCAAGGTACAAGAAGCTACATCAGGAGCTCGGCTTAGATCTTCTAGTGACAGGCCACACACATGTGCAGAACATCTTCGACAAGTGGTCCGTCCTAGGTGGGGTTTCACAAAACAGCATGAGTTGTTCTCTATTGGTACTACAGGGTTTATGGCTTTATCAGGAGGTTCTTGAGAACAGATGTACCTTAAAAGGGATTCCTAGTATTTAGGGTTTGAAATTGGTGTCTGTACCTCCTGAAACAGGTGGGTTAACCTGCTTCATTACGGGCGGTGGCGGTGGCATCACATCGGAAGTCTCGCCCGAAAATGAGCGCTCAACGGCCTATGGGTTCTTTGACCTTATCTTCACGAAGGATGAGATTAAGCTTGAGTCCATCAACTTCCGAGGGAACAAGGTCGGCAGCGCCACCGTGACGCCCGTCGCTAGGAATGTGACGGATGCGTAGCCGCAAGACAAAGCAAAGCCTTCTGTCCAAGGAGCTGTCCAGGATCTACATGCATGCAAGACACCACACAAATCAAAAAGGTGCACTTGCATCGTACATCTTCGCTATCTTAATTAAAAGCGGCCACTGTCATCCTCGTCCCAATTCCTTATTGTACTTATACCAAAAAGGACCCCCAAAACCCTACTCTAATTATCATGGGCATATTATACTTTTACTATAAAGGACCCCCCAAAACCCTATTCTAATTCTCAGGCCCCTACATTGTGTTGTTCTTGTGGCGGCAGTGGCAGCCGCAGTGTTCAGCCTGAGCGTGTGAGCTCTTGAACTGCGCTTAGCCGGCCGAGTGCTTGGAGGTTCATGGGTAGTTATAAGTGGGGTTATAAGGTTCGTTTAAGGGTTCCTTTAAAGGGTTCTATAGGGTTTAGGATTTAGGGGGTAGTTATAAGTGGGGTTATAAGTAGGGTAACTGTAGTTATGTCCCATTTCAGGGGACTTAGAACCCTACTTATAAGTACCCATGAACCTCGAGGTATGCAGTCACAACGACAGTCTCGCTATCCTTCCTCAGAGGTCACAGCAAACATGGACAGACGGCTCTAGATCATGAAGCCTGAGGGTGTAGGGTTTAGGGTCTCAACGCTAAACCCTAAACATGCTTTGAGCCATGGCGAAGCATTTGCAATGTAGTACTTGGAGGTTCATGAGTGGGGTTATAAGTAGGGTAACTATAGCTATAACCTATATTAGGGGACTTGTAATCCCACTTATAACTACCCCCTAAACCCTAAACCCTACAGAATTTTTTAAAGGAACCCTTAAAGGAACCCCATAACCCCATTTATAGCTACCCATGAACCTCCAAGTACCGCAATCCCCGGCCAGCTTGCTAGTCCGGAGGGAAAAGACCCGAGATCCAATCCGACGCCCGAAGCCCTAAACCTGGACCCAAAATCCTGAGCCTGCATCGAGGCCCATCTACAGCCGACGTCTGCCACCTCGCCAGAGGAGGTCTTCCCCAGGGCAACTGCCCAGACCCCCAAAAGGATCTAAAAAAGGGACCCTAACTACTAAAGGGTACTGTATAGGAACCCCCTCTTAAGGGATCTATTTTTGAGATCCTTTTGGGGGTCTGGGCACTCTAGGAGCCTTAATAAGTAGAAGAGAGCTTTTGGATCCTTAATAGTATAAGTCGAATAAGGACACCTAAGGAATAATCTTCCTTCCTTCCGTCTGACTGCCTAAGGAATGATGTTGGTAATTATTTAGGCTTCTTTGGTGCGCAAAAATAGGTCTTTGGGATCCTTATACTAGTCCTAGGTTCCCCGCTAGTGCCCCTTTGCCCTTTTCATTTTAGGATCTCCTAAATAAACCCGAATACTCTCAAAAAGGGTACCCGTAACGTTAAGGGGTTGCCAGGTTGCATTTCAAACGACCAGAGTCAAAAGGCTCCACCCTGGGCCGCTACAAACGGTTCAGACAAGCCTCTGTGTGCGAGATTGGCTTCGTGATTTGCCATGCTGGTCCAGATCACATCATCAGCGCGGCGTGATGCAGACACGACAGGCGGCACTCAAAAGCTGGAGTCCTGGCGGAAAGACGGAGCTTCCAAACATCACCACCAAAGGTGGATGGCACAGGGAGGCCGACGGGAGGAAGCCTGAGAGTTAATTCAAAACCCCCATTACCTGATGAAGCTAAATACCCCATACTTGGAGTTTCATGAGTAGTTATAGGCGGGGTGAGAAGTAGGGTAACTATAGTTATAACCCATATTAGGGGACTTTTAACCCTACTTATAACTACCCATGAACCTCCAAGTATAGAACCGAGAACCCCTCATAAATCTCCTGCCGAGGAAGAATGTGCAGCACCTAGACTATAGTAGTAACAGGGACCCCTCAGGAAGAAAAAGCTTCTATAGTGGGGTTTCGTGGATGGGCTGAGACTCACCCAGAGAGCCCAATAGACTTTAGTTAAAGAAAAAACCTTCATTATACCATAGTATAAAGACCTGCATAATTCAAGGCTTCAAGGTATATATTCCTTGATTAAGGGGTCTGGGGCTCTCTGGGCTGTTATTACCGTGAGCATTGCCTGCGCTTCTCATAGCAGGGATTTGTACGGAGTGTCGTTCAGAGGACTTGTTAAAGATGTGCCTGAGATTCATGGATCCCTAAACCCTAAACCCTCACCTCAACCCTTCAGTTTCTTGGATCCTTTTCTTGCCCCTGTGGTCACTCCCTGGCCACTTGCCTATTTGCAAGTGTGTGCTTCGCGTGGCTGCCGTCAATGTTTGGAGTCTAGGTAGAGTTGTCGAAGCTGCGCCGAGCTAGCACGGATCATAATTCAACACATGCATTAGCAATGCTGCTTTGAAGTCGACATTGCCATTGTGCTCTGTACGCATGGAAGCAGCAGTGGAAGCAACAGAAGCAGACGAAGTCAGCCCCTGAGGAGCATGTGCCACTAAGCCCAACTTCGTTGACCCTAGACACCAACCCCAGCGATTCTGAACACTAAACTCTTCGCCAAAGCGAGAGCCATCCGTACTGTCGGCCCCTGATAAGCTGCACCAAGTCCCCAGAGTAGTAGTGGGGGCAGTAGTAGCCGTCGTCGTCGTCTTCGCCTTTGTCGTTGTCGTAGGGGTAGCAGTCGTCGTCGTGGTGGTGGTAGTAGTACTAGGAGAAAAAAAGTAGCAGTAGAAGGAGCAGGAGTAAGAGCCGGAGCGGGACCAGGAGCGGGAGCGGTAGCAGGCGGCAGGTCGCCGTCGTCGTCGTCGGTAGTGGTGGTGACAGTTGTAGTGGTAGTGGCCGTGATAGTGGTGGTGGTGGTGTTGGTGGTGGTGGTGCTGGTGGTGCTGGTGGTGGTGGTGGTGGTGGTGGTGGTGGTGGTGGTGGTGGTGGTGGTGGTGGCGGTGGTGGCGGTGGTGGTGACGGTAGCAGTAGCAGCTATGAGTGTAACGAATAGAAAGACTGCTCTGCTTTCATTCTCGATTGTTGCTCCCTTTCCTCTCCGCGCAACATCGTGAGCACTGGCCTCTTGAGATTAAAACCTCATGAAATCGCAACAAGATTTCAATTTCAAGCCTCAGAAAACCAAAAAAGAAAGACCAGCAGAACCCGCTACAGAAGCCAAAACGTTAAAAATGGCTTCGCGCAGTCCGACACGGATTCTGACTCGAGCAGCTCGAGCTCGGATTCGGAGTCTTCGGACTCAGAGGAGGACAGCTTACTATAGGGATCTCAATAGTGACCTGTATTATTCTGGTGTTCCTTATTGTAATTCTAGTATAATATCCCCCAAAACCCTATTCTAATTGTTGAGGCCCCTGCATTAGTGGGCCTAGATGAAGGTTCATGGCTAGTTGTAGGTGAGGTGTTGGGCTTAGAGTTTCGGGTATACTGCTGAAGGACGAAAGTTCGCCACACAACATGAAGTTAAGACAGAGTGCCACATGCCCACCCCCTTTTCGGCGTGGACTTTCGCGAAGAAGAGACGAGCAAGCAAGGGCTGGGCATTCCGGGTGTTGCATGCAGTCCTTCTGTTCGTTTAAAAGAAGCGAACAAGCACGAGCTAGGCTTTAGCCATGCCGTAAAACAGAGCACCACATGCCCATCCCTTCTCCCCCGTAGTCTGCTAGCACAACCTCGCGCAGTTCTCCGCCGGAAACTATATAGTTGTGTAGTTGTATTCCCGGAAAGTAATTACTCCGCCACGCTGGCCACGTAAAACGGGTATTGGGTCACTCCGCTTCTCCTCAGCACATGTCCATGTTCTTATCAGAAAACTTTCGGCCCGGGGGCTGTAATTGTAGTTGCATTTCGAGGGTGCGACAACTCACAAGGCTTCAGAGGCTGTAGGGGTTCATGCATAGTTTCAAGCTTGGGTATGGGCACCTTCATTGGGGCTGTGAATGATTCTAAGTAGAGTTAGGGGCTTGGGCTTGCAATGTGCATTTGATGGTTGTACGCTTTGGAATTGAGGGGCCAAAGTTTGCAGTCCGTTCCGAGGGTCGGGGTTTAGAGGATTTGCCGTGGGTGATAGGGAGTCCGCGGTTATGTACAGATCGCTGGCTCGGTACGACGGCAACTCACCCACCAAGATCAACCGTCGGTATAACTGAAATTCGCCTTCCGAGATCAACGCTCGGGACATGGCCTGGGGCCGTTTCTCATGTATGTTGCTGGCCGTTTTTTAGCACCGTGCATGAAGCCCCGTACTTTGCATGAAGCCCAGACTTGTGCGTCAAGTCTATAACTTCTCGGGGTTGGGTACGGTCTGCTGCCTGCTTTGCTGCAGCAGGGTCGTGGCTTCAGGGGTTTGGCCTTGATGTTCCCAGTTCCTCAGTCTGGACAAGCATTTCTCGGGTCATGCACACATAAGAAGAGACGCCAGCACGCGAAGAGGCATACAGAGATTCACAAGGGCACAGACACATGCGCATGCACATACATGTTGGTGTACCTGCGTTTTCGTTTCAGTCAGCCCCCAGACCATCAGGTTATGAAATTCGCGGGGGTGTGTGTTTTGAACAATGTACATGCCTACCTATTAGGTAGGCATGTAGGTAACCGTTGTAGGCATATTATGTAGTCATGTTTGCATGTATGTCTCCGCGTTTGATAAGCAGGTAGATAGACAGATGCATATCCATCTATCTATCTATCTATCTATCTGTCTATCTATCTATCTATCTATATGCATATGTATACATATGTACATAGGTGTATGTGTACATATTTGTATATGTACATGTTCATGTTTGTATATGTATATACATACATAAGCATGCACATGTATGTTTGCCAGGACTCGGAGGGGGACGGCAGCTCGAACAGCTCGGAGGCCAACGGAAGCTAGACTTAAGGTCTTAGAATATATTTGCTCAAGGAATACGGTGTAGGGCTTTGCCGTGGGATACCGCGTAGACGAAACTTCGAGTGCATCGTGCGTAAGCGGCAATTTGTTAGCCTGATCGTGGAAGGTTTCTTTTAATT